CAAGTGTATGGTACAGTAGTATAAAGAGTGGAGAAACCATCAAAATGGGGTCAATGGGAAAAGCTTCAAGAGGAGATGAAGACTGAAGCTGGGTCTTCGAAGAAGAAGGATCAGAAGCAGACAAGGCATTCCAGGCTGTGAAAGCAGCTATAAAAAATGTGGAATGTTCCCAGAGTTAGGTCCTCAGTTTGTCACTATCAGAAGTTTAGATGATCTATTTAGAAATTTTGTTGTTGTTGCCTTCCTTTTATAATTTGTTGAATTCTTTGCATGATTTATATAACCAGAACAATTAAAGTTTATTGGTAAAGGGAAAGAAAACAAGTGTCATTTTACCCCAAATTTCAAAATGCCATCCAAAATCATTTAAAAAATATATGTTGCATAAATCAAATTCTTATTGATGAGGGCTCCATGTAAAATCAGTCTCGATAAGCAGGCATTTGGACAAAGTAATTAATTTGAGGCATGTGCCTCAAGTATTCATTCCACAAGTATTTTTTGAGTGCCTAGTTTGTGCAGGTTAATGTGTGCAGTTGGGAGTATGTAGGGGTGAATATGACATGTCCCTTGTAGGTGTATTATAGAATCAGAATATTGATGAGGAAACTGAAACTCCAGCCTTACTCCCTGTATTAATTTGTTAAGGCTGCCAGAGCACAGAACCCTTGACTGGCTGTGACAAAGTACCACAGAAATTTGTTCTCTCACAATTCTAGGGGCTAGAAGTTCAAGATCAAGGTGTCAGCAAGGGTTGGATTCTTCTGAGGCCTCTCCTTGGTTTGTAAATGGCTGGGTTTAGATGATCTTCCCTCTGTCTGTGTCCAAATTTCCTCTTATAAGGACACCACTCAGATTAGGATCTACTTTATTTTAACTTAATACCACTTTAAAGACATGATCTCTAAATACAGTTATATTCTAAGGTATTAGGGTTTATGACTTTGACTCATGAATTTTGGGAGGACACAGTGAAGCCCATAGCACTCTCTGAAGTCCTCCCATTATTCAGTGTGGCCACACTGAACTGTTTAATGAATGCTACACTCCTTCATGCTTTTGCACACTTCTGTCTACGATACTTTTCTCTGCATAATTTCTTTACTTGGGTAGTGAAGAAGAGTAAGCAATATTCATTCTCCTCTACCCACTGGTAATACCTTCTTCATTCTTATAACTTTATTACATATTAAAATTCTTTGTTCAGGTTCTTTCTCTAATGTGATGTTAAACATACATTAAATGTTCGTTGGATAGGTGGTTAGGTAGTGAGGTTAAAGCTAGAGGAAGAGATAGGTCTAATTAGTATTAGGTGTTATGCAGTGAGTACTATAAAAGTAGTGCAGATGATGGGGCTTCCCTTGTGGTCTAGTGATTAAGGGAGCACAGGTTCAATCCCTGGTCAGGAAGCTAAGATCCCACATGCCGCATGGCACAGCAAAAAAAAAAAAAAAAGTAGTGCAGATGAGGTAAATGCTATAGAAGTATAGAGGAAGAGTCAGATTATACATGTGATCAAAAATAATGTGATCAAATCAACAGGCAGAAAGAAGCAAGATGTGTTTAGGCATATTGTTGTTCAGTCGCTCAGTCATGTCCAGTTCTTTTCAACCCCATGGACTGCAGCACGCCAGGCTTCCCTGTCCTTTACCATCTCCTAGAGCTTGCTCAAACTCATGTCTGTTGATGCCATCCAGCCATCTCGCCCTCTGTCGTCTCCTTCTGCCTTCAGTCTTTCCCAGCATCAGGATCTTTTCCTGTGAGTCAGTTCTTCGCATCAGGTGGCCAAAGTACTGGAGCTTTAGCTTCAGCATCAGTCCTTCCAGTGAACATTCAGGGTTGACTTCCTTTAGGGTTGACTGTTTGATCTTGCAGTCCACGGGACTATTAAGAGTCTTCTCCAGCACCACAGTTCAAAAGCATCAATTCTTTGGCACTTAGCCTTCTTTATGGTCCAACTCTCACATCCATACATGACCACTGGAAAAACAAAAGCTTTGATTATAGGACCTTTGTTGGCAAAGTAGTATCTCTCCTCTTTAGTACACCATCTAGGTTTGTCATGGCTTTCTTCCAAGGAGCAAGCATTTTTTAATTTCATGGCTGCAGTCACCATCTGTAGTGATTTTGGAGCCCAAGAAAATAAAGTCTGTCAGTATTTCTATTGTTTCCCCATCTCTTTGCCACGCAGTGATGGGACTGAATGCCATGATATTCATTTTTTGAATGTTGAGTTTGAAGCCAGGCTTTTCACTCTCCTCTTTCACTTTTTCAAGAGGCTCTTTAGTTCCTCTTTGCTTTCTGCCATAAGGGTGGTATCATCTGCACATCTCAGGTTATTGATATTTCTCCCGGCAGTCTTGATTCTGGCTGTGCTTCATTCAGTGTGGCATTTTGCATGATATACTCTGCATAAGTTACATAAGCAGGGTGACAATATACAGCCTTGACATACTTCTTTCCCAATTTTGAACCAGTTTGTTGTTCCATGGCTGGTTCTAACTTGCTCCTTGACCTGCATCCAGGTTTCTCAGGAGGCAAGTAAGGTGGTCTGGTATTCCCATCTCTTTAAGAATTTTCCACAGTTTGTTGTGATCCACACAGTCAGTCAAAAGCTTTTAGCATAGTCAGTGAAGCAGAAATAGATGTTTTTCTGGAATTCTCTTGCCTTTTCTATGATCCAGAGGATGTTGGCAATTTTATCTGATTCCTCTGCCTTTTCTCAATCCAGCTTGAACATCTGGAAGTTCTTGGTTCACATACTGTTGAAGCCTAGCTTGGAGAATTTTGAGCATTACTTTGCTAGTGTGTGAAATGAGTGCAGTTGTGCACTCATAGGCATAGTATTTATGCCTGTTTAGGCATAGTATTACTTTTTGGTTGGAATGTAGCATATTTTAAGGGATGACATGACATAAAGCTAGAAAGGTTTTATATATATATATATATACAGTATCACCGATGTTTTCAATTACCACAAACTAGTGTCTTAACACAGATTTATTGCCTTGCAGTTCTTGAGGTCAGAAGTCCAAAATGGGTCTCACTGGACTAAAATTAGGTTATTGGTAGGATTGTGTTCCTTTCTTGAGACTAGAGTAGAATCCGTTTTCTTGCCTTTTTCAGCTTCTCTTAGACTGCTGCCCTCCTTTCCTTCGCTTGTGGCCCACTTCTGTCTGCAAACTGATCCTCAAATTCATATGGAAATGCGAGGGACTCAGAATAGCCAAAATGATTCTGAAAATGATCAAAGTAGGAAGACTCAAGCCTCCTAATTTCAGAACTTATGAAACAGTGGTAATCAAGACAGTGTGGCATTAGCATAAGGATGGTCTTGCAAGTAATTTCAGGCCCCCTTCCTTTCTGGAGCCCCCCTTTTTGGGGCTCTGAGTTATTCTAAACTGTCAACTCTAGGCTCTTAAGAACTTGTTAAACATTTAGCTGATATCTTCTTGCCCACTTGTTTGGTGGCCACTTCTCATGATCTGCCAGAGGGAAAAAAGTTTAGGTATTCTCTTTCTTTGGGGGGACATGTCATCCTGTGGATTTCAGTTTCCTTGCATACTCAGTCAACTCTATGCTAAACTCAAGAAAAGCTATGATATGTATAGATAGTTTGGTCTTTCCTTATTGTTATGGTATGAGGGATATTCTCTTCTGCTTTCTGTATCCTAAGCAGGGTGGAAATAACATGGTACTTGGCCTATAATGGATTGAGGCAAGAATACTGGAGTGGGTTGCCATGCCCTCCTCTAGGAGATCGTCCCAACCCAGGGATCAAACCCATGTCTTCTGCATTGTAGGCGGATTCTTTACTGTCTGAGCTACCAGGGAAGCCTAATAGATTCAACACCTCGTTAAAATTTGTTTAAATTGGGTTGAATTCATATTTAGATGCTAAGTAGTATGCTAAGTACTTACTGCATCATCTCATTTAGTCTTCTCCCCTACTTATAAGATGTTGGTGCTATTATTATGTCCTTTTTTTAAGACGTAAAACTGAAGCTTAGTGGAGGAAAGGAACTAGAGACACAGCAATAGATAAACATTTTCATCGATTTTACCTAAAGCACCTTTTTCCTTTCCTGCCTCCCAAATAAAACTTTTAAATCCATTTTTCACTTCTCTGAGGAAAGGAGATGCATCCTTGGCATTGCAGATTCTTATTTTCTCATTTGATGGGAAAGGAGGTACAGTATAAAAGAAAGAATGCTTGAAGGTCTCTAGTTGGACTTTTGATTACCAGAACACACTTTTGAGCCTGAAGGTTCTGGGTGTTCAGTACTAGTGTCTAGGTGAATGACAAAATGACTGTCATGGCTACTTTGCTGTCACTTTTCCCTTTCCATTCTCCTGCTTCCAGTGTGAAATAGTTAACAGCATTCAGTTTTTAATCATAGAGTAAAATTTTAAATGCTCTTCATTACTGTTACTTTCTTTATTAACCTGTGTGGGAATTCCTTTAGGTAGCTCTAACACTGGGGAACTTTAATTACCTGTGCCACTTAACATTTGTCGTAACAAATTTCTTTGTAAGCTACCATCAACAATAGGTAGACTAGCAAAGTGTTTTCATTCTTAAAACATTTTGTTTTGCTTTTGCTCACTTTCAGAAAGGGAACTATGGGTCTGATCAATAAGCTCAAATAAAACAAATGTTATTAATTCATCTCTTGAACTATTTTCTGCAATTCAGTTTCTAAGATGTGTTGTTTGTAACTCACTGCATTAATTATTCTACATTTTCTCACACCTTGTTGATAGATGCAAGCTAAGTTTCATTTATTGCTTGTCTTTTCTGGAGTTTCAGCACTTGATTTCAAGTATTCCACATGTATAATATAAACTGGGTGATATTACTGTGTTTGGAACAGAGACAAATGGTAAAGGCTAAGGAATAGAAACATGGAGATAAAAGGGAGAATTGTTTATATATGGGAGGATGTTTTATAATGCTTTGGCTTGGTATAACAGTCACATGTATGCTTCCTCCTCTCTAGTTATCAGGGAATATGAAGAACAGAGAAAGTATCCAAGAACCTAGATTTGATTATTACAACCATGAAGTTCCTGATATTGACCTCAGTGATTGTGAATTCCCACATGTCATTGAAATTTATGACTTCCCCCAAGAATTTCGTACTGAAGATCTTCTACGGATTTTTTGTGCTTATCAGTAAGTATTTGCAATTGATTGGGGATGTTAGGGAAGGTGGGATGAAATTTTCTTAAAATGTCTTCTGAAAAATCATCTCTTTTGCTTTCCTATTCCCTGTCATTTACTTTAGCATCAAGTTTGTTTATTGTGTATTCCAAGCCCATTGGAAATCTGTATCAAACCACTCTTCTTCTAAGTTCCTTTAAAAAAATGCTAAAGTCTTTCTAGATCCCAGTTTAGCATTTAAGAAGAATATCATCAATAATGACTTTGTAATCTGTCTCCATGGTGCATTTAGTCCATTTATATTTATTGTAATTATTGATATATTTGGATGTATTGCCTGCCATCTTTTTTTGTGTGTTTACTTGTCCCATCTTTTTCTCTTCTATCTTGCCTTCTTTTGGATTGATGAGGTATTTTTTTCTCACTCCATATTTTTGGGGAATAATACCATTTCTATTATTTGTTGGTTACTTTAGAAATTATAAAATGCATGTTTAATTTACCAATGACTAAGGTTAATACTTTTACACTCTTTCCAAACACTTGAAGGGTTTTAAACTCCATTCCCCAATTCCATTCCAGTGTCTTCCTGAACTCCAACTCGTATACTATTGAGATTTAGTAGTTTGAGTCTTTTTGATTTAGTTTTTTTCTTTTTAAACTCCATTTGATGTTACATTTTTTTTATATATAGTCAGCATTCAGATTCATCTGCTTTCTGTATTCTTTTTGTGTCTCATATTCATCTGAAATCTTTTTCCTCCTGCATGGAACAGGTTCTTTAGAATTTAATTAATAACAGTCTGCTGGTATCATATTCAGTTGGATTTTGTTGTCATCATCGCTGTTGTTTCTTAATGGCTTTATTTCAACTTCATTCTTGAAAGACATTTTTGCTGGGTATAGAATCCTAGGTTAACAATTATTTTTCTCAGGAACTTGAAGATTTTATTCTGCTTTCTCCTGGCTTTCTTAGGGTAGGATGAGAAGCCCACTGAAAGTCTGACTATTGCTTCTGAGTATAATCTGTCTTTTCTCTTTGGGTGCTCTTCATGTTTTCTGTCTTTGGTATTGTACATTTTCAGTATGATGTGACTTTGTGTTGTCATTATTGAGATTATTTGGGCTTCCTAAATATTTTTCATTGGTTTTGGAGAACACTAGACATTATTTCTTCAAATGTTGCCTCTGTACTAGTCTCTTTTATATTCTCTATGATGCTGCTGGTTGAAAGTGGCTTAGACCTCCTAACTTAATCCTTATGTTATCTCTATCATATTTTCCATTTCTTTGTCTCTTTTATATGCTGAGTAATTTGTTTAGTTCTAATTTCTTCAACTGTGGTTAATTTGCTTTTAAATTTGTCCATTGAATTTTTAAATTTCATTTTATGTTTCTTATTTTTCAGAGTTCTCTAATTTTCAAATCTGCATTTTTTTCTCTATTTTCAAGATTTAAAAAATTTCTTTTTAAGTATAGTGAACATAGACCTTCTATAGTCTGTGTCTAGTTATTCCTTTACCTAAAGTCCTTTCAATTCTGTTTTTACAAATTCTCACTCATAGTGCCTTGCTTTTTTTGGAGGTTTAGTTTATTTTTTTTTTAAACTATAAAGCTGGCCATTTCCTTGGGAATTTTATTTATGAGAATTGAGATCTGCAATAAAAGAAGAGACTATCTCCTGAGAAAATATGTGTTTTCTTCTGCCAGGTACCAAGGGTCCTAACAGTCCAAAAGGCTGTAAATTAAATTATTGATTTGAGGTTATTCTGACCACTGAGATAGAAATAATCAAGTAGAGAATGATAAAATGTGATTGTTATATCTCAGCCAGCTCATTTTAACAGTACATATAAATGTCCACTTACTTGCCAGTCTTTGATGTGGTTGTTGTTGTTCAGTTACTCAGTTGTGGCTGACTCTTTGCAACCCATGGACTATATAGCACACCAGACTTCCCTGTCCTTCACTGTCTCCTGGAGTTTGCTCAAACTCATGTCCATTGAGTTTGATGTGGTACCAAGGCCTTTTTTTTTTGTTTTTAAATTACTAGTCTGTTGAGAGAAGAGTTCTTAATGTCACCCTGATATCACCTACAACTTCCAGCAAGAACTGATATCCATTCAAAGTCACTTGAGTGCAAACTCCTTATAGATTAAAATATTTTCTCTCCTTTAAAATAATTTTTTTTTTTTTGGCTGCACCACATGGCTTGCAGGGTCTGAGTGCAGGGCCTTAGTTCCTTGACCAGGGATTGAAGCCAGGTCACAGCAGTGAAAGTGCTGTGTCCTTACCACTGGACCACCAGGGAATTCCCCATCCCCTTGTCCTTTTTTTTAAAAACTGTTTTGCCCAAACAGAATTGATGACAGTTTTTTGGGGGTTTTTAGTGACTTCATCTTTCTCAAATCTTTCAAAGCATTAAGTTTTTATAGATACAACTCTTATGTTCATACTCATAGTTCATTGTTTTAATTTTATTTAATAAATTATGTAGTAAACATAAAACTGATGTAAATAGGTTTGAGAATAGTTGCACTACCTTTTATATATGTATATACTTCATACATATGTAGAGTCAGAAGTGTATCTCTGTATCTTTATCTTATAAGAAAACATAAGCTTTGGGAATAAAAGAAATAATCCCAAAAGTAAGTTATTAAGAAAAAGATTTTTCAGGAAGTTCAAGAAAGTCATTACCAAGAAGGGATTATACTTTAATGCTATAATCCTGCCATTAACGATAAGCCAGGTCTATTGTCTGATATACAGATTTAAACTTAAAATTCAGCTCATGTACATCTAGAATTAGGGTATAGCTCCCAACTTTTCCTTTAGGGTCAGATAGTATTTTCCTGCCATCATTGTACACGAACAGCCATAAACAATAGGTAAATAAATGAGCGTGACTGTATTCCTTGAAACTCTGTGTACAAAAACAAGAACCCTGTTTTCCTGTAAAGTTCTAGAACAGGCAAAACTAGCAGCTGGGTACCTCACTTGTCAGTTATGTAACTAAAAGAAAGGAGCAGTGACTGGATCCTGGAGGACAGTTAACAGTCTCTGCCATAGACCTTACTCTAAACATGTAGTATAGGTCAGTCAAATTCATTACAGTTATGGTAAGACCCAGTATCGGGTCTGTACCAGGTGAAGTGCATAGTAGATTTTAAAAAGCAGTTGGTGAGATTAAATCCAAAATTAGAACTACCTGAAGTTGTCACTAATAATGATGATTTTTAAAACCAAGGATTTAATTTTGTTGATGTCTGGAATTTTCTGAACATTAGTTAACTCTTAAGAATTATTAACTTCCTTTTGCTCTATTTCTTCCTAATTTTATCTGCAAGACCATTTTTTCTATCAAACCCAAAAATATTTTCAAAAGGGGAGAAACATTTTAAAGGGTTATAAACTTCTGAAGTCTAAAAGGCCCTCTAGAGCCCATCTAAGTTTTTTACCATCTTTTGTCTGCTATTGTATAATATAGACTTCTACTGTGGAACTTTCTCATAGTTTTCAACTCCTGTGGTCATTTTATGCCATGGTTGAACTTTTACATCAAGAAATCGTCTAACTAGCCTTCAAAGCCTCTTGATTCCTTTTTCTTTCAAAGGAAATTTTTTCTTGACTAGTTAAAGGGAAAAGATACTTTAGCAGTTGTCTTTTTTTTTTGTTGTTCTTTATAGTGCTTTATTTAAAAAAAAAAAGAAAGAAAAGGTCATGGTGCAAAAGCCTGTGAGTCAAACACCAGAGTCAACTTCATATTTTAATCACATCTTCATTAATATTAATCATCTTCCTGATGAATATTATTATTAATAAAAAATAATGGGCACCATTGATTTATTAAATGTCCACTAAGTGCTCAACATTGTGCCCTTTGCCTTGTCATGGATTATGTCATTTCCATTTTCACAGCAACTCTGTTAGGAAGGAATTCAACCCATTTTTTACAGATGAGCAAACCTGGCTTACAGAGAGATTAAACCAGCCCATGGCCTCAAGGTGGCAGAACCTGAATTTTACTTTCTTACTTCCCTTCTGCAACTTGAAAAAAAGATTAGGTCAGTCTCCCTGATAATAGTTATCTCTTTTTTCTCTTATTTGATTGATTTTGTTTTGAATGACCCGTCTCCCTCTTCCTCTCTGTCTCTAGTCTCTGCCCTTGAGCCTGCATTTACATTAAATCCAAGTGACCTTCTCTACCCACCTCCTCCTCCCCTGATTCTTCTTTTCCTCTTATGCTTGCTTTCTCCAGTCCCCTAAAAACATCTCTTGTAAATAGTGTGATAAATACTTTACCTCCCCAGGGAACATGTGTGGATTAATTAGTTGATGTCTATAAAATGGCTGACAAGGTAAAATCCTCCCAGGCAGTTCTTTATGGTGGTGTTATTGCTTTTAAAATTCAGTGGCTTCTGTTCTCCAGGCTGCGTTGTGTGTCATTATCCCCACTCCACCCATGCGCTTGTTGAGTGTTTCTCTCATCATGGAATGCTTTATGAGATACTATTTGAAAGATGTTTTTTAAAAGTAAGTTTTATTTTAAGGAATAAAGTTCTTTTATTTTGTTGCAGAAAGAAAGGATTTGATATTAAATGGGTGGACGATACACATGCCCTAGGAGTATTCTCCAGTCCGATTACAGGTACTCACCCAGTGGATTTCACTGTGTTTATTGTCCATTTTCTTCTGCTTCTTTTCCTTATTTGCTTTCTGTTCCAGCCACCTGGCATTTTATTCAGTCACTATAGATAAATGACAGGTAGAGGGTTTTTGAGGCAGGTTACTTTGTTGCTTCCCCCCTCTCCCTTTTTACCCTAATCCAGTGGTATTTGGAGAGATGGTCAGCTTTTCGTTATTTGCTGCATAACTGTCAGTTATGATAGTGCATAAACAGGTAAAGATTTAAGAAGCCAGTATGAGTAAATGTTAACATGTTTGTGGTTCTGCCCCTAACCCCACTGACAGATGAATTTGCAGTAGCCCTTTAACCTGGTCAGTGATCATTTGTAATACATACTTTCCGAGTGTATGATTTGGCCTCTTCATCGGTATCAGGATAGATCTGATGCAGAGACTTTCAGACAAATCAGAGATGTTGATTCCTGTTCAATTCATCTAAAATAAGGGTCTGCAAACTTATTTTATAAAGAGCCAGATCGTGGATATTTTAGGATATAAGGTTTCTGCTGCTGAGGAAAGACAGCATCCCTCGACACTGTGCAAACGAATGAGCGAGGCTCTGTTGCAGTAAAACTTTACAAAAACAGGGTGGTTGGCTGGATTGGGTCACAAAGTCATAGTTTACCAATCCCCATTTTAAAATATCACTGCCGAGTTGTTCCTTATGGATTTTCTAGAGCTTACCATTTCTTTTGCCCATGATGAAAAAATAAAGGACAACATCTAGGAAATACTTTCTAAGAACTAGCCTTAACTATATATATATTTTGCATCACTCATTTTCATGTTTTCTACTTCTTTATATATATTTATTCTTTTTGCAGCCCGTGATGCTCTTGGTAGTAAACATACCATGGTGAAGATCCGGCCCTTGTCACAGGCCACAAGAGCAGCCAAGGCCAAAGCTAGAGCTTATGCTGGTAAGCCTATAATCTCAGGAGCTTTTTCTTATTGATAGTCATGTTCTTGTTTTTTTTTCCCCAGCACTTGTATAGCATCCAGAGTTCTAAAGACATAACACTTTTATTTTTAGTGTTAAAAGAAATATTTTTAAGGAAAAGGGAAAAGAGAAAAGGCTCTGTTGGAAATATAGCATTGGAGAAGCCACTTGGAGGGAGTGGGGAATGTGAACTGCAGGCACTGCAGTCACCATTTTCTGATGACAGCCTTATCCAGTGTACCTCTGTGGTTAGCAGTTTGGTAGAGTCACTGTAGGAAATTGTGTTAATACAGATAATGAAGGCAGGGTTGTTTGTGCTTTGCCGTGTTAATTTCTTCTGATCTTCATCTATCAGGCTTGTATTAATTATTGCTGATGCAGCCCTTGTTAGTCTATTTCGTATGTTAATTACTGAGTTAAATCACTTGGAGCTAGAATGCTTTCTCTTCCTTACTCCCTCCTGCTCCCTCCTTTTCTCCCATTCAGAGTTTCTCCAGCCAGCAAAGGAGCGTCCTGAGACTTCAGCAGCCCTAGCCAGAAGGCTAGTCATCAGTGCCCTTGGGGTTCGAAGTAAGCAGAGCAAAACTGAACGGGAAGCAGAGCTTAAGAAACTGCGAGAAGCCCGAGGTGAGTTGAAGCTGATGGCATTCTTCTTTAGTTCCGTTAGAGCTCACTATAAAGCATGTGTTTAAAAAAAAATGAAGTTCATTCCATATTGTCATTTCCATTTCCTCAAAGCCTCCCACGTATATTGAAGTTGTTTTCCTGACTTATATTTAGGAGGAAGACATGTTGGAATATGTCTGCCTGTCCCACACAGCAGGGTATCCTACTCCATGCTTCTTTGTTGTTTTCCAAAGATAGGTTCAGTCTTTTTAGCTCATCCATGGCTGTTTCTGTAGTTCTTGCTCCCAACTCTCAGAAAAATTTTCCTATGAAATCATAGTAATCTCCCAGGCAGAAAACAGTATTTGCTGTGGTTTTACTGGGCTGTGATTGTCATGGTTTTATCAAATGGTTTAGATCTTAGAAGATAAATTAAGGAAAAGCCAGCAACTGACATTGGTGATGATAACTCTAGGATGTAATTTTTTTCTTTAAAGACAGTCCTGAGTGGCTCCATTAGAGCACATCTAGGTTAGCCTAATCTTACTATTTTCCAGTACTTAGGAGTTCTCAGAAAATATTTCAACTGATCCACAAGCAGTGTTTTTCTTTCCATATAGTTTGTAGTTGAAGTTAAATGTCTCTCTCCTCTTTATAGGCTATTGGCTTGTATGTAAAGGCTTGGGACTCCCATTGCACTTAAGTACTTTTTATCAAACTTCAGACTATAAACAGTCTGATTGCCTTAGTCCACGATCTGTGGAATCTGAAGGCAGTTTATTCTGAAAATTCCACTTACTGAAAAGTAGCTTCATTTTTCCATTAAACGAATTGAAGTTTCAAACTCCTTGTTTATTGCCGGTCTAACAAGGCCATTAATACTTCTGTCCACTCTGCTTTGGTGATAGCAGGCAGCTTGCAGACTCTCAGCTGCACTGGCCAGATAACCAGTGACAGAGTATGTCATGGCAGGTGCTAGAGTTTCAGAGTTGAACTCAACTAATTTTTTGAAACCTTAATGATTATAATGAGGCAGTTTTGATTTTTCCCATGCATTCTTGACTCAAAGACTTCTTGAGATTATAGAAACAGGGGAGGATCCCTCTGGTTTTCATATGTGGCACTGTCAGAACTAGATTAAAGTGGAATGTGCAGCATCCTTAACCCTTTATTGATTGGTTATCTTAGAGGAAAATGATTTCTCTGTCATAAGCACAGTCATCTCAGAAAGTCAGTAGCGGGTAATAACTGTGGTATGTATAAAAGGAGATGTGATTCTTTTTGCAGTGTATCATGCTTCCCTTTGAGTATAATGTCACCTGTATTTCGACAGGTACTGCAACAATAGTTTTGTGTGGTTATCACCTGTATACCCCACTGTTTCTCTGGAGGACCATCGTTATACAGGCGCACTTGAATTTATTTTAAGTGCCCAACTATACAAAGGACATTTCAGTGATGCAGTTAAAAATGAGGCTTTTGGCTAAGTGGGTACCCTGGTACCTACTTTTTTAAAGAAGCCTTTTGTTGTGATAAATTTCTCCTATCCATTGGTGCTAAAACTATATAGGTTATAGAAGACTCTTCCTTTATTGTGTCTTAGAACTCTCTCATTCTTTATATCTGAGAATATGCCTATGGAAAATTCCAATATAGCTTTCTGGCTGCTTAGGCATTAAGCATATACTCTAATAATTGCCTGCATGGAATGTAAAACCGCTCACTTAAAAGGTTTTTTTCTGTGAAATGAAAAGTACTGTTTTAGATATTAAATAGAGCAGATATTTTTGTTCCAAATCTTCCACTGGAGGGAAGGGTGTCAGTACAGCGCAAGAAATAACATTATAAAGACTATGGAATCAGACTGCCTGGGTCTATATCTAAGCTCTGCCATTTACTGGCTGTGTCACCTTGGGCAAATTACTTATTCTCTGGAGGCCTCTGTTTCCTCATCCATAAAATGGAAATCAAGTGAGATAATCCACAAAAGGTACTTAGTCATTTTCAAAACCCATAGAAACACCCACCTTCCTGTTTCTCTAGGCCTATAATAGGTATAGAGTAAACAGGCCCATGATAGATGAATGTTAGCTGCTGCTGTTTTTAGTAATAGTAGCAATATCATTTTATGGTGAGTCCAGCACATATTTTTTTCTTGTCATTGATCTTTTTGTTTTAAGTTGCCTCTGATGCTCTTATCAACTACATTTGGCATTCACTGAGTACCTGTCCCTGTGCAGGGCATTGTGCTCCCTAATTAGGAAGACTAGAGAGATAGCAGGATTTTGTTCCTCTCCTTAAGACCTACAATCTGGTAGAGATATCTGCCTTGAGTAAGAAAGAAAATATGAACCTGATATTTTAAGCAGTTGTTTCTTCTCTTCACTTCTGAAGATTTTAAGATTAAAAGCCACGAAAAGGTTTTTGCAATTAAAAGGATTGAAGGAAGTTCCTGGCTGTATAACATGTTATGCTAACTCTTGATGGGAATGATATTATCTCTATTTTAGAGAGGTAAAATATCAATAAAATACCCAACTGGTAAATTGAGAGGTGGTATTGGAACCTAGGCCTCTCTAATTAAAACCCATGTTCCTTCTACAACACTGTATTCCCTTTTGAAGGAGTTTTGGGGGTAATTAACACTTTTTTTTCCCAGTAAAAGAATTTTTTAAGGTCTTCAGAAAATAAAATATGACAGGCTTCTTTTTAGTTACCTGTTCCAGTGGTTAAGAGCTTTTATCAGAAAATTCTTCCTTAGGTCTAACGGAAATCTATACAATAGTTTAAAAGTTTCTTCGTAGGTATTTACTGGAAATCAGAAGCATCTGTACACCATTCTGTTCTAACAGCTTTTAACTATAAAGATCAAGGGCAGATCATTTAGGAGTGAGAGGCTCTGGACTATTAGTAGAGTTTTTGCCGTTAACTAGCTGTGTAGCTGTGGGCAGGTCCCTGTGCCCCAGCTTCCCACACAGTGAAAGCAGTGCTTGACTCAACTAACCTTGGAGAATTCTTTGAGCAACGTAAGTTAACATATATAAAACGTTTAGAAAGGTGCTTTATGTATTTAGAATACTGTTGTTTGTGTGACACTTGGGAAGTTAATATTCATTATAATAATACATGCCAGTAATGACAAATATGTACTGTGTGCGATTGCTCCCCTTTCATTATCCATGACAGACAGTGCTCATCAGTCATGACACTCTTTCTTGGTGACTTTTGACTTGACCATTTGCTGGTCGATCAGAATTAGTATGAAATCAAAATCTGTGTGCCATCCTGATATAGGTACTTTTGTTATTAATACTAGGGCTTCCCAGATGGTGCAGTGGTAAAGACTCAGCCTGCCAGTGCAGCAGACACAAGAGATGAGAGTTTGGTCTCTGGGTCGGGAAGATCCCCTGGAGTAGGAAATGACAACCTACTGCAGTATTCTTGCCTGAAAACTTCCATGGACAGAGGAATCAGCGGGTTACAGTCCATGGGGTTGCAAAGAGTCAGACATGACTGAGTGCATGTGTGCATGCGTGTGCATGTGCGTGTGTGTGCGCACACACACACACATTAAAAATACTATGGAAAAAACTCATAACCTCTCTTTTTCCCACTTCAAGAGTTCTGCTGTCTGGCGCAGTGCTTAGTTTGTAAAGAGATACTCAGCTACATAATGACATTGGTTACTTTAGTTTTTCTTCGTCAAGTCTTATTTCACTCATGATTCTACTCTGAACCCTTTCAAGTCCTCCATGATTTTCTTTATAAAACCCAGAGTTAAACATTGCATATGGAACCTTTCTAATTAATGAATTTGGAATTTGGGATTTTGAAGTATAAATACTTTCCTGATAACTTCCTCTACCCTACTTTGGTCTTCTTACCATTTTATTGAAGAGTATTTGTCTTAATCCTTAAAAAAAGAAATTAAAGTAGTCTTGGAGAAGGGGAAGGCAAACCACTTCAGTATTCTTGCCTTGAGAACCCCATGAACAGTATGAAAACGCAAGAAGTTAGGACAATGAAAGATGAATTCCCCAGGTCAGTAGGTGCCCAAAATGCCACTGGAAATCAGTGGAGAAATAACTCCAGAAAGAATGAAGAGACAGAGCCAAAGCAAAAACAGCATCCAGTTGTGGATGTGACTGGTGATGGAAGTAAGTCCTATGCTGTAAAGAGCAATGTTGCATAGGAACCTGGAATGTTAGGTCCATGAATCAAGGCAAATTGGAAGTGGTCAAACAGGAGATGGCAAGAGTGAACATCGGCATTTTAGGAATTGGTGAACTAAAATGGACTGAATTTAACTCAGGTGACCATTATATCTTCTACTGTGGGCAAGAATCCCTTAGAAGAAATGGAGTAGCCATCATGGTCAACAAAAGAGTCCAAAATGCAGTACTTGAGTGCAGTCTCAAAAACGACAGAATGATCTGTCAGTGATCTTTTATCATTCACAGTAAATGATAAAACCACATTTTAAAGTCTAAACTCAGGAATATATGTAAAATTTCCCCATGTTCTACTTGTCAGAACACTTAATTCCCATCTAAAGTTGGAATCAGAGTTCTCAGAATAAGCTACTCTCATTTTAAAAGCTGGCTATAATTTTGTTTCATAACTATGTGTCATTTTACTCTTGGGGGAGGATGATTAATTGGCTGGTTCTGAAAGGCCATCTTTTGGGGCACAGGCCTGAGAGGCAGAGTAAGTAAACAATAATTTGATCTCTTAGTTTGATTAATGAAATCACTAAGAACTTAAAAGTAAAATCATCTCTGTAGGATACCTAGTCAATTGTAATAAAAATCTAATCACAATCACTGCCTTCTGAAATCCTTTTTAGCAATTCCGTTATTCTGCCTTCAAGGACAGCACTGCATTGCTGACTTGTAGGCTAGGTCTTAACAGCATTTTCTTGGTGTCCTTTCTCCCTCTGTGTAAAGTTCCCTTCATTTCCTGTCTTTTTCTTTGGGATGCAGTGTTTACCCATATTTTTGGTGTCACCTGCCTTTTAATAAACTTAGGTTTGTGGCCCTAATCAGAGATGAAAATGTTTACAGACTGACTGACCTGTTTACCAATTATTGCTAAGTAAATAGCTTGTATATACTTAATGTATTGATAACCATTCCACCCTCTAGAGTTAAATGCTCACTTACCATTTATGTGAGGTAGACTCCTTCCCCGTGTATTAATGATCATATACATACTTGGTAAGCCTGAAATCTAAAACTTGCTAAAATGCAGAGGTTATTTATATTAGCTCTCCTTGATCTACCAGGTCTGTCAATCCATAAAAGAAGGCAATTAGATTAGTTTGACTAGACTTGTATTTCAAGTGTTCATGTTGATTTTTACTCTGTAGGTGGCTACAAGTAGATCTTGTGATGATTTTTCATTGTTTTCTTAGGTGTAGAAGTAAATTTTGAAGGTTTTAATTTTCATCTCTCTTCTTTATTGTTTTAAACATGACACCATACTGGCCCCTTTTTCATCTTCAGCACTTTCCATTTCCTCAGTGAGAACTCATTTAATATAATTGTTTCTGCCAATTTATTTATTATACTGAGAAATAAAAGTCTTCAGGGCTTTGGGTTAATCATTTCATACTAATATTCTCTTCTTCTTTAGTTCCATGCCTGCATGGCTGCTGTTGGGCTTTCTCTTAGTGTACTTTTTTAATTGGTGGAATTAAAGTTAATAGGAGCTTTTTTTAAAAATGCAGTCTATCAGCTATTATCTCCTTTAGTAAAAGGCAACATGTTTATTCTTTACTTTTCTGACTGTATTTTTTTTTTCACATTTTTTTTCTTTTCTGTGTAAATATTTTCAGATCCTGTCTTCAGATGTCAGGATAGTGGAAAGTATTCTGATTTAAGAACCAAGGACCTGGGTTCCAGCTTCAGGTTTTCACTGATTATGTAACCTTAGGCAAGTCACTTGGCTCCTCCAAGCTTCCATTTCTCCTTTAAAATGAAGAAAATATATTTAGGTCTTATCCTAACGTGTATTTATGTATTCTGTTCATGTTCTGTATTTCTAAATTTAAGCCTCACATTTTTACTGTTTCTTTGTGCTTCTCAATGTCTCCCTATTCTTGCTGATTTTATCATATGGTTTACCACCAGAATTTCCTCTTATATTTACATATATTTGGTAATACAGATCTACAGTCTTTTGTTAGAAAGCGTTAGGATAGGAAATGTTTCAGAAATCTAAACTACTCCAGTTTTAGAAAGATAGTATGTTTATCTTAATACCTGTTTCCTAACACCAAAATCGAATCCAATAGCATTAATATTTCTGTAACAGACTGACTAGTCACACCAGATGGCATATAAAGCCTATAAAGCAGCCTCATGACCTTTAGGTTATAGTATAGTTAAAGGACTTTGGTCCCAAGCTTTTTAAAAAACCATTTTTTTTTCAGTGCTACTTTGATTTTGAAATTGTGAATTATGGGCCAAAATTCTGTTTTTCTACTGCTCCTGGATTTCATTTCTTATAACCTCCCACATTGCCATTCTGGTTTACCTCTCTGAGCTTATTAAAATATCTAAGTTCTAATAATTCACTTGTCTGGTTTCTTCACTTCTTGGAACCCAGACCAGTTTTTGTTGTTGTCCAGGGTTGCCTTTGCCTTTAGATCCTCTCCTAACTTTTCCCTGTTTTTAAGGATCAGAACCAGCATCGGCCAGATATCCTTAGAACTGTCTCCCTGGAGAATCCAAATCCAGTTTGAGCCTGCCTTGAAGCCGAGTCCAGGACTCTGAATTAACTAGCCTTCAGTTGGGAAGTTGCCTACCCCCATTTTTTGCCTCTTGTAATTTTGCTGCTATTTTCAGATAATGCCACAAGAGGGTGCCCAGATAGCAGCAAATTTCTCTTTCTCACATTTCCAAGTGCCAGTCAGCTTCCTTATCAAGTTCTTTGCCTTTAAAGTTGAGTCAAATACAGTATAAGAATTTTTGTAAGGTATTCTGCTAATTTGGAAAGATACATAAAAATAGCAAGTATTGATATTAACTCTAAACTCACTTTGATTTCTGTAATTCCCCTTGGTTCATGACTTGCAAAATCTTTTACAGACATTATCTGAAATAATTGCCCCTGGAAGGAAGCACTTAGGCTTAATTATCTACATTTTATAGTGTCAGGATCAATGACTGACTAGCCATGAAATTAGAACTGGTATTGTGGCACCTAGTGAAGTGCTTGGGTCACCAAACCGTGTATGGTATGCACTGTCTCAGGTCTTGGTGAAAATGTTAAATGGAAACCAAGCTTCTGTGTTAAAATTTGAAGATGGTTTGCCCAGATTTGTGCATTTTTTTGTTTTTAGAAATAGTTTTTATTTTCCCTTCATTATATGTGGTCTTTTTTCCATGTTGGAATTGGTATTCCAGAAGATTTCTGGCTCCTGAAAGTACTCTGAAAACATTAAAATTTGATTTTCCTGTGAAGTATTTTTTTGTATGATTGTAGTAGAGAGATATTACTAAAGCCCAGTGGCTACTGTTTCCATTTGAGCAAGAAGGTAGAAAAAAAAAATATTAAAACATATTCTTGATCCCTTTTGAAATATTTATAAAGATCAGTAGACTGGGAATAATGGCCAGTTTCACTGAAGCACTAATGCAGTTGAGAAGGAGAACTAAAATAAATACCTTAATAGCAAGATAAGAATCTGGATCCTCCTAGGTTCTGACTTTTATTCCATATGCTTTTAATTTCTACTAGCCCCAGACCTTTCTCTTTTTATTGTATAGTAGTGCTAACACTGTTTCAACTTACAAAGCACTTGGAAAGTTAAAAATATTAACTCTTGGAATCAGGTAAGAGAAAACCAGGGAATCCACCCATTTTCATGATTAAAATTTGCCTTGTAATTCAGATTAAGGGAAAGTTACTGGTTATGTGAAGTTATACTACTATTTTTAACACTGCTTTTATTTACAGAGAGAAAACGATTGGAAGCCAAGCAACGGGAAGCCATCTGGGAAGGCAGAGACCAGTCTGCAGTTTGAACATCACTTGATGAAAGGGATAATTCCAGGAATTCAGAAAGTACTTCCAGTTTTCAGAGGATTTTTCCAGACCTCTGTGTACATGCAGATGTGCATGTTAATGAAAGAAAGAGATAAAGCGATCAAGACAAGGGCTGACTGGGTATAAGAAGAAGATCAACTCCTGTTTGTCTTCACTCCTACGTGCAGTTCTCTGGAATCGCCTTACTGTGTTGGACGTGGAAGGAAGCCATCAGCTTGGGAGAAACTTGGAGGGTGTGACTTCAAGAATCCTTTGGATAGGGCAAGCCATGCTTCCAAGATGTTTTACGTGAAAGCAAAACAGAGGATTCAAACCTGTGACGATGGGAGATTTAGGCCCTGCAAAGGCAAGGTGCTCTTAATACCTCACAAACCTGAGACCAGCAGTATTGCGGGGGGCAGATGAGGCAGGTGGGGGACAGAGGGGAGGGAGCTGCTAATATAGAGAGGTGGGCCCGTATCTGGTGCAGTTGATATTCACAGAATCTACACTGCCGGTTCCAGAACCCCAAAGGGGGTGAACTGCAGCAGGTGTAGGCATTTGGACTCCAGATCTTGTACTAAGCCGAATGCCTGGGCCTGCCCCAGCTGTATGGCAGCCAGGGGCTTGGCAGCTTCATTCCCATAGGAAGCTAGTCTTGGGAGCTGGGTGCCAGTTCCGGTTTAAACAGCACTATCATGTTATAAGAGGGAGACATTAAAGCTCATTTTGTGATATACATCACTCAGCTGTTGGTCGGTTTTGTCATTCCCACAAAGAAATGGGAGAGCAGTTCTCTCCTTATTTTCACCCCTGTAATGCTGTCGGGGATTCGGTGGGCCTGTTGGTTTAACTGAACCCTACTGAGTAGACTGCTGATCATCTGGTGCCCGAGAGTACACTAGAAATACTCGCCTGGGATTGGTTTGTAGCAGCTTCTCTCCCCTTCCTGTCCTCTTCACACATCCCCACCCCACCCTCTTGCTTTTGCCATTTCGTCCAGTCTGACGTCCTGCAGAAGCCATCTGGCACACAGTGTGTTTTTGGTATGGTCTTCTTTGCCTGTGCCAGAGGCATTTGGCAAGCCACACCAGACCGTCCATTACAGTGAAGAGCAGCCAGAATCAAACACACACCTCTGGGCACTGAGAGATTTCCTAAAAGACATGGACAAGCGAGAGCTGTCAGCTCAGGCTTTATCCTTCTCATATCTGCATTCTCAGTGTTTTGGGAAAGTAGTTCTACACTGAAGAGGTGGTAGTGCTAGACGTTAAGATGCTGAGGTAGCAAGAAACAGTGTCTCATTGTGCTTTCAACGAGGGCAGCAGCCTCATTTTTGTATGATTCAGTGCCCATGACAATGATGGATTATTAGCATTGCCTCAAAGATGGTGGAGTGGAGCTCTGTCCAAACGTTCCTCAAATGACACTGGCCTTGGGGTCTCGATCCTGCTGCTATTCTGGTCTTAGAGCCCTCTTACAGTTCCTTAGCATTGTTCTCTCACTCGTGGTCTGTTCTGAACCTGTCCCTGTCCCCGTTCAGTACCTCCATTCCAAGTCTGGGGGAGTCGTTAGGCCCTTCTCCCGACCCTCTGCCCCAGCACTGCTTAGGCCAGCGCCCCTCTCTCTGGTGTGGCCTTACAGCTTGTGCTCTCTGTCTTCAGAGGACAGAGGCGTGTCTATTTGAACACTGTGGCTGCATTTGAAAGAAAATGTAGGAAACTAGCCAGGTTTCATACTGAAACAGTGTACCTCTAAGGTATACCTTTGCTCTGTTTTGATTCTTCAAGACTGAGAGTGACCTTGGACAGTAAACAAAAAAAACAGTGATCACTCCTATCACTTGTCTTTGAGGTGCTTCACGTTTCTGGCAGCAGTTTGGCTTTTAAGGGCGTTGGTAACGTATAGTCCCCTGTTTATTACTCAGTTTTCTTACAGAACTCGTAATTTCAAGACGTTACTTTTATCCTCATTCTAATGCTATGTACTTGGTGGCCAGTAACTTAAACTTTTTTCCAAATAATAATCAACACCTCTAACTTTGATTTATCCTTATAAGTAGATCCAGAGAAAGGATTTTTTTAGCCAGTACTGCAAGGTATGGAGTGCCCTTGTTTCTACCATTAGTAGAAAAAGGTGCTTTTTAGTTGTAGTTTTTCCAGTGGAGGAAATTAATATACACTGGCTGGAGTTAAGAGGGCCTGCTCAGGCCCAGCACAGACTTGTGCTTGTCCAGAGGGGACCAAATCCTTGGCTGTATCCACACCATGCCTTCACACACACAGCTAACTGGAGAGCTCCTTACAACTGCCACTGGCTCTATTAGATACTCGATAAGATAGCTAATGCACTCTGCTATGCATGTATATTGCTTCTGATATGTTGAACTTGTGAATCCCAGTACTACCTGGAATTTATAGCAGAAAGATACATTCCCCTTTGATTTCCAGTATACTCCTCATAGAAATCTTTGTGGAATAGGAATAAATTAGGCATTTGAATGGTAAGCTGAGTTCCTAATACTTCAATTTCTGTGAGACTGAAGAAGGCCAAGGTGAAAAATCTTCAGACATTTTTGGTTCTGTCTGGAATTTGGTGGTTGGTATTCTGTTAACATTCTTCATTTAGTTACAACTCATGCCAGCCACATCTTCCCATGTCCTTCCCTTTCAACTCAGAAGCGTAACAGCGCAACCCTTATATAGCTTTTTCCAAGAATTAGAACTGGCTGCACCTATCACACGTGTGATGTGGGCACTGAGAGCAGAGCCGGTGGCTGGCTGCCGGCCGGCTTTTTCTGGCCTTCTTGGAAACCGGATCCAGCCAGAAGCTGTGGGTAACCTCCGTGCTGGAATCTAGTCATCAGTCACCACACGCTCCCCCACCAGCCACACATTCTTTCACAGACCATTAGCTGCATGTGTGACTATAATGTTGTTACTGTTTGGGAGATGTTTGCTGGATCCAACAGGAAATCAGTCCTCCCCTTGTTTACCTAAACTGCCATGCCAAAGTATAACGCTCCCTCTGCCTAAGGAAGGAGTGAGGAAGTTGAGGGGAGGTAAAGGAGAAGAAGGAAGAAAGCTCTTCTTTGTATTCACAGAGGATACCCCAGGGTGGATATCCCTTTCTACTCCCTAAGGAGGGGCAGCTCTCCTGTGTGGGGTTGGGAGCATGGTAATTCTGCCCCATCTACCACCATTCACTTCAGCCTTGCAGCCTTGGTTGTAAAAGTTTACCATCTTCGGACTTTTCCTTCTTTCCTCCTACTGCTCATCCACTAACCTTTCCAGCCCGTGATTTACCATGGAGCCTAGGGAGGGAATTGGCAAGCAGAGTGTGCGTGCGTGCTAAGTCGCTTCAGTCATGTCTGACTCCTTGCTACCCTAGGGACTGTAGCCCTCCAGGCTCCTCTATCCGTGGGACTCTCCAGGCAAGAATGCTGGGGTGGGTTGCCATGCCCTCCTCCAGGGGATGTGTGAGTAGCACGTGTGCCCCACACATCTTAAGAAACCAGGTCACCGAGAGTGAAAAGGGGTAGAGTTTGTGTGCTGGGAACTGCCAAGAATCACAGCCAGCCTTGCTTTGTAGCAGTCCATAGTGAGCAACCTTTATTGGCATGAGGGCGTCAGACCTGTGAAGATCATCTCTCAAGTGTGTCCAAGTGGAGACAGGATTAAGAATCACGTCCAAGAAGATCATAGGATCTTAACCTCACCTGAGCAAGAGCATATCACAGCCACATTGAGCAGAGATGGTGGCCTTTCCTAAAGTTTAATCCTTAACTAAATTGAATCTTCCCCCTTCTGACTTCCCCATAGTCTAGCCTTCACTCTACTAGACCTGTCTTCTTTTTCCTGCAGAGATGAGTGGCCTGTTTGACTGATGTTCTTTCCACTTCAAAAATTTATTCAGTGGAAAGTTCACTCCAGAAACCTGGGGGACTCGACATTTAGGCCAGTCCTGAGACGCACAGTGATCTCGCCTGCTGGGTTTATGACAAGTATTTTTCCCTGGCAGAGACCCTGGCAGCAGCTGGGGTCCATATTGCCCCAGTCATCTTTCTTTTGGGCCTTTTCTTGCTGCTGTGCAACAAGGCTGTATCTGGCCACTTCTGTGAAACCTGCCCTGTCTCAAGCACTCAGGAACTGGTGGTTTGGGCCCATCAGGAGTTAAGGGGATGCCTGAGGCCGAAGCCTCCAAGGACATTAGAAACAGCCATATGTGCAGGAGGATAAAGATAGGACACTAAAGAACAGACTCGAAGAGCATGAAAGCTGAGTTCTAAGTATGGACAGATCAAGCGAGGGACTCAATTCACCAGCTTCTCTGCCAGGTGTGACTTTGACACAAGTTGTGTCGCTCAGAGCTCCTAGCAGAGCGCTGACTCCTCCTCCTGTGTATTTGGCCCTCCTCCGAGACATCTGCAAAGCACCATTTAGTTGGGGAGCCAGGCCACAGTCCATTCTTAGGGAACTGGTAACTCCTGAACCAGGAGCTCAAGGGCAAGATCCCGGGAAGACCAGGTCTCCTTGCAGGAGAGGAGCTCAGCTGAACAAAGCCTGGAGGCCATAGTCCAGAGACCAGAGGCGCCCAGGGATCAGACCCAGAGCCATCCCGAGGGAGCGGTGCCATTCTGGTTTGGTGATCTTGCCATCTAAAGGCTTCCTGAGCAGGTTCCCGGTGCCTCTTGGCGCTGGCCCCTTTCTCTCTGCGTCAGGGCTCGGTAAAGGGCATGGCTCCAGTAAGCTGAGGTATCTGGTGTGTGGGCAGCAGCTGGGAGCATGTGGTGACGGCTTCAGATGAGGTTGTTCCTGAGACGCTGCTCCTGCTCCTGGGACAGCTCTGTGTTAGCTCGGTATGAGTCCCCTGTGGACCGAAGGACGACAGGTAAGTAGCTGGGACCAGAGTAAGGATGGGACCAGAGTCCCATCCCCTCACTGACAACTTTACAAACACCAATATATCCTGTCTGGCTTGGCCTTTCCATTGGGTTAGTCATGGGCACAGAAAATGACCTATTTTAGAGAAATAGATGCCGACAGGTGCCTAGCTACAGGAACATGGGAAAGAATAGGCTATTGAGTGGGAAGGGTTGTGCTGGTCACTCTCCTTGTCCCCTCCCCACGTTCACTCTCTATCCTTCTTTGTTCTCTTGGAGCCCTGGAGACCTGACCCCTAGAGACTGCCTCACCCTGGCTCCATCCTCATCTGGCTTCTGGTTGACTTAGCTCAGTGGAAAGCAACAGGAGACAAGAGGATGGAAGGACAGAGAGGTTGGGCTATTTCCTCCCCTGTCCTGCAGCAATGGTCTCCTGCGACTCCAGCCCCACCAGCCCCTCTTTCCTCTTCAGCACAAGTGTTTACCTGGCTCCAGGGCAGCCTTGGCCCACTTAAGCCCAAAGTGATAGCAACATTTCAGTCTTCCTTATCCCTGGATATCTCAACATCCTCCTCTCCCTAGTCCTACTCACACCTTTGGATGGTCCTCTCATTAAATAACCTCACACTTGCACCTGAGTGCGCCCTCTGTTTCCTGCAAGGACCCTGGAGGGGTCAGTGCTGCGCTGTTTCCTTTGTTCCTCGCTCTTCTGGACCCTGTGCATCCTGCCACCAGTGTTATGGAGCCTCTGCCTCCACGCCGGCAGCCTTAGGTCTCTAGGCTCCAACTCCTAATTCCTCTCCTGTTCCTGTCTTGCTTAATGGCAGCAGAATCTATCCCAGTCACATCGTTTTCAAATCCTTACTCCTCACTGTCTTCATCCACTGCCAGAGTTATCTTTTGAAAACATAAATCTGATCTTCTTGCCTCCTTGACTGAAATTTGTTATTGGTTTCCAGAAGTCCACAGGATAAAGTCCATTCTCTTAGCAGGAACCATCATAACCCTCCCTGCAAAGAACACTAGTGGACTTGGGTACATAGCCCTATTTTACAATAGAGAAGACTTCTGAGTGGAAATTTCTTCACCGTCTTAAAGCTGGAAGGTGGTTTTGGAAGCTGGAACTGGATTTGGTGCCCAGTGAAACCTTCTGAGGCCAAATGTTATGCTCCTTCTGCTCCTCCCCTCTGACTTCAGTCTTCCCTCTGAAGTCAGCACAAAGGTCCCTTCCTCTGGGGAACCTTGGGCTTCCCAGGTGGAGCTAGAGGTAAAGAACCCACCTGCCAATGTAGGAGGCGTAAGAGGTGTGGGTTCGATCCCTGGGTTGGGAAGATTCCCCTGGAGGAGGAATTGGCAACTCACTCCAGTATTCTTCCCTGGAGAATCCTATGGACAGAGGAGCCTGGCAGGTTTTTGTCCATAGGCTTGCGAAGAGTCAGACAAGACTGAAACAACTTAGCACTGGGGAATCTTGACTGGCCTCCAGGCTGCTATTCAGAAAGCACTCTGCTTGCTTAGCCTTAGTTCACAGTGGTTTGGGATGCTCAGTAGGACTAGGGTATCCAACTGCATGTTTGCTTACCCTACCTGACACTCAGCTCTGCATTTTACTCCTATTTATGTTCCCAGAGCCTGGCACAGTGTTCAACACAGAGATAGTTGACATGTTTGTCGACTAAATGAATGAGTCTGCTCCTCCCACTATGTGCAAAGTGTGGGTGTGAATGCACACACCCCACAAAAATGCAAGCATTGAAAGGTTGAAAACAGAGGAACTACTACCTTTCTTTATGGGCAAGTGGGGCAATCACCTCCTTACTCTAGGGTGTATCTGCCCCCACTGGATCATTGCTTCTTTGTCTGAAACTACCAGTTTTGCAAGCGTCCAGAGCCCTATTCTCCATGTAAGCAGGGATCACAGCTGGAGGTAGCAGCACAGAGCTAGGGGACTTCTACATTTGCCTGTGAGGCAGCCAGCCTGGGATGGAGACAACTAAGATCCTATGAAAGGAAAGGGAATAGTAACAGACTGGAAAAGGGAAATCCTGACTTGGTTTGAAGTAACAGGAAAGAGTCCAGAGCAGACGGGAGACTGCGTTTTCAATCCAAACTACCTTAAGGATAAAGAGGGACGTGGAAGTAGTTAGTGGGAGAGGTGGGTGAAGTTTGTTCTGGAAATCTACCTTCTGTGAAGCTGTCAAAAGAAATTCATCCCTGTTCCATCCCCAGCCTTGTACACGCACACTCTACTTGCACACAGGGATGCTGAGGGTCTTCCAGCACCCCGAGCCCACATGGGGATGGCCGCATAGTGGCCCGCAGGTACCTGTGTGGCAGTTGTGTAGCCAGACCCGTTGCCCGTCGTACTTGCAGCGGCACCGCATCATGTTGTTTGAGAAATCTGACTCTGCCACCTCGAACTTGGGGTTCACGACCACCTGGAGTGAGAGAAGCATTGGCTGAAAACAGGCAATTTGGCTTCTGTGATAACCTTTACATTTCATTTCATGCAGTCTTGGTGAAGTGTGTTGGTATTCTTCATTAATCCTTACAATCACCCCAGGAAGTAGGCATTAATGTCCTTTTTCTTTTTACAGATGGGGACTGAGTTTTGACTTGCCCATTGTTCCTTGACTCAGGACTCAAACCTAGGTCCTGGATCCTGATTTTTTTTTCCCCTACAGCATAGCCAGACATGTCAGAGATCCTATTTATGAAGCTCTTCCTTCATTTGACCTCAGAGAGCTTTCAGAACATATATGGAAGAAATGGAAGAAATGGAGAAGCACTCTTACCTGGAAGATATAATCCCCAGGGCCCACGTCTGTGATATCCACCCACTGGCAATCAATGTCATGTCGGTAGGTGTCCCAGCAGCCAACGGTCACTCCCTGTTCCCCAAAGTTGGCACACGCGTAGCGCCTTTGCATTCCTGTAAGGGAGGGTACTGATGGTGACTGAGGCTCTCAACAGGTGCTCAGGACAAAGTACCTGCTAGGTTTCTCACATCCTTCAACATTTAATCCTCATACCAGCCTTGCCAATTGAATGCAGTCAGACTAGGGACTTGAGCTTCCTAAAGATCCTGCCTATCAGTGCCAGAAGTTCTACTAACCATGAATCCAGCACTGTACCACAGGCCATCTGTGACAGAGATCATTTCTCTGGATACTCTAGTGGAAATTCCTGCTGGCCTAGGAAATGTGATTGGAAGATTTCAGCCCTCTATGCTAATTCACTTGTCCATCCAACCTGGTGTTCCACCATGCCCTTTCTAAGGGCTACAAACTGTGGGTATACAAACAGGAATCAAACAATCCATGTCCTCAAAGGATCAGCGGAAGTGAAACAGGTCAGCAACTATTATCCAAAAAAAGTGTTAAGTGTTTTAAAAGTGGTACACAGTACACTGGGCTTCCCCCAAGTGGCTCAATGGTAAAGAATCTGCCTTCCAATACAGGAGATGTGAGTTTGATTCCTGGCTGGAGAAGATCCCCTGGAGAAGGAAACAGCAACCCACTCCAGTATTCTTGCCTGGGAAATTCCATGCACAGAGGAGGCTGGTGGGCTACAGTCCATGGAAATAGTCTGACATGACTTATGACTAAATAATAATATACAACATGCTGGGAATGCAGAGGAAGTAGAGAAGGTAAGAAATTCATCTTTATTTGTGTTTTGGCTATGCAGCACAGCTTGTAGGACCTTAGTTCCCCAACCAGGGATTGAACCCAGGAATGAAAGTGCAGAGTCCTAACCACTGGACAGCTAGGGAATTCCCAGAAATTTGTCTTTTTGAATTGCCTTGAGGGCTGACTGTGGCCAGGCCCCAGTCTCCAGATGCCTAAGGCTGTTGAGCGGGCCAGAGGGAGTCCTGACCTCAAAGGGGCGGGGGGAATATGACAGAGGAGGATATGCTGACAGGAAACCACGTACCTGTGGGGCAATTTGTGTCCTCTAGGCAGAAGCTGGCCTTGTGCCCCTCCGCCACCTTGGAGCCATTGAGAGTGAGGAGGTCGTAGTGGGTGAAGACCTCAATGCTGTGGTAGTGCCTGCGGAAGAGGCAGGGCCATCAGCCTGGCAGCAGCAGGAGGGGAGTCGGCACGGGGGACTGAGGCACCAGGCCCCATCATTACCCAGAGAGGAGCGTTACAATAGCAGGGCAGTGCCCTTCTCCCTCCCAAACCCAAGATTAGTATGACCCTACTTTCCTGGCACCCCTGCCAGGCAGCCAGACACAGCTGCCCCCACCCCCCAGGGTCTCAGCCAGGTGAGGAGAGGTCAGAGCTCCAGGAGATGCTGCCTGGCTACAAGGCCAGAGCTCTGCAGGTGGAAGGAAGGGACACGACCAGAGACTAGCCCAGGAGCGGAGTTGCGGAGCATGGAGGGACACTTATGCTGCTCCCTGCCAGCCTGGGCCCAGATGGCTACCGTTGTTTCCAGTCCAGTTCTAATGACAACTCCATCCATGCTACAGGGAAAGATGCTTATTATCTCAGCGAAGTCGAGTCCCAAAGTCACTGCCCGCTCCTCTCAGCTTTCCCCACCCACGGCTGTGTGAAGGAAAAAAACACCCTTTTCCATTCTGCCTTTGTTGTAGACAAAGTCTCTCCTTCTGTCTGGGCTGGAAGCTGCTGATAGGAAAGAATGCTCATTGTCCCCTTCCAGCACCAGCGGCGTTTCCTTGCTCTTCCTTGGGGGCCTCACTTTGCAGCTGCAGAAATCAACCAGCTTTTTCTGCAGAACCAGCATCCTGGATGGGATGGCTATTTTGGGTCTCCAGGTTTCTAGGAGTCCCCATCTCACCTGGCTGTTAAAGACAAGGCTTAAGGCCCCCAGAGAAATATTCTTCTAACAGAGACCAGCTCGGCTGGTGAGGACCACTCTGTAGGATACCACAGGGGAGGTGAATCCATGGGTATGTAGGGCAGGTGAGAGAGCAATGGAAAAGCCAGGTGATGCTCAGGATTCCTCACTGCCTCCTGGAGGCGGGGCTGGCAGCATGTCTAGGAAGGAAGGCTCTTTCCCTGAGCTCACACCCACCCCTCCCAGGAAGGACCAGACTGGTTGGGTCCCCGCACCCTGGTTTTGGCCCCCTAAGGGCTAAGGCCCGAGCAGGCGTTCACCTGTGGCACTGGTGCCAAATCCAGCTGTGGCGCCCCATCTTAGGACGGAAGTCGGCCCGGCCCAGGTTGTGGATCTGCGAGGAGAAGCGCAGCAGACGCCGGTGTCCGTAGGGCCAGTCCATGCGGTCAGCGGACTGAGACAGGCAGTTCTCTTCGTGGGCGCAGTACAGCAGGCTGAGTGGGCGGTCCTCCAGGTAGGCTGTCTCCTGCACCAGCTGGGCGTTCATCACGAGGTCCGGGGCACCTGGGCACCGTGGAGACACCAAGGTGAGGGAGGTAGCCGGTTTTGCTCTCCCGCCTAGGGGACAGGCTTGCCTCCAGATTGGGTGCTTTTGGAAGGCCCGGGAGAGTAGGGCAGTTTAGGAGTCAGAAGATTTCCCTGGTGACTCAGACGGTAAAGTGTCTGTCTGCAATGCAGAAGACGTGGGTTCGATCCCTGGGTAGATCCCCTGAAGAAGAGAATGGCAACCTATGTTGGTATTCTTGCATGGGAAATTCCATGGACAGAGAATGCCTGGTGGGCTACAGTCCATGGGGTCACGAAGAGTTGGGCACAACTGAAGTGACTTAGCATGCATTAGGAGTCAGGAGATGTGAGTTCTCATAATAGGCGAGGTCTATCGGCTTAAGCTTGGAGGCTGCTAGCGTCACAGTGGAGCTTGCTGGCTTCATAGCTAGACCACCTGGGTTCCTGTCTTGGCTTAATTTCTGTCTACACCACATTGTAAGGGGAATTGTTTATCCTTTCGTCTATCATTTTCCTCATGTGTAAGATGCAAATAATGAATAATATGCGTGTGATAGTCCCTGTAACGAGCTGAGATCATGGTGTGGCCCGTGGCAAGCATGCAGTGACGTAAGCTAGCGTTGGTTTTGTAGAGTATACCTTTGCCTATAAGCTGCGCTCATATAACCTCTCGGAAGCCCTGCTGATGCCAGGCTTGTCACCTCAGCTCTTTCTCTGAGCCGCAGTTCTTGCAGTGTGAGAGGGAGAGGGCTGGAGATTGCAGGAGTTCATCTCTGAACATGCTCCTGGGCTCTGTTGCTCTGGACCATTCTGCTACACGTTCTGAGACCACACTTTCTCCAGGGCTCCTCTTCTACCCTGATGGCCACCGTGGGTGTCCACACCGGGACACTGCGTGGCCTGGTGCATGGAGGGAGCCTGCTCAGTGCCTCTCTGGTTCCCTTCCTGTCACAGGGGCTCTTGCCCTCCTCAGAGCCACTGTGCCATCACTGCAGTCCCTTGTATATCAGCGCAGAAATGTGGAGATCCACAGCTTTTGCCTTGTAACATCGAGAGAGAAAACTGCCAATTCTCAATGCTCGTTCATGCAAAAACTGGGTTACAGTTTAGATTTGGGGCAGAGCCATCGCTGACAATGGTGAGACGGGAACACGGGTTTATTTTCAGCGGATGGGCATCAGGATGGGAGCTGGTTTGCTGGATGATGTCTGTACTATCACTAAATGCTCTTGGAATGCCTGAGGTATATTTTGGAGACGGACAAGGGTATGCCCACGGGCACACCCTAGAATTTCTGAGGGAAAGGAGTGCTTTCAGAGAGAAGAAGAGATGGTAAAGGCAAGAAAGAAATGAGAAAAATCACAGAGGAGAAATGGGGACGACCACAGGGATGGTGGGTTGGCTGTTTGTGCTCAGCCGTTGTGAAGTATCAAATGAATTCAGGAGGAAAGCTGCCCTTCCATCAAGGGGCACAGGGTTCCGGGAGGGGAGAGAGTGGGGAGCCGGCCCCACAGTATGCTGGGAGCCGTGGCTGGAGACCCACTCGGAAACCCCATCACCCTGCAGGGGAGGATGTGCTGTAAAGGTTAGTGCTCTTCCAATGGGCACTGATCACAGTGAAAGCCTTAAGCTTGCTCACAAAGCTGAAGGATGTCTTGGCATTGAAACCTTCTGGGAAGAAGGTCATGTAGCCACTTGGATTGGGGGCAGCCTGTAGCCTCTGGACTGGATATAGTTCTTGGCCCAGACCTGGTTGGCATATGTCAAACAAAGGCTGCTACCATAAGAATCTGGGGGTGTGGGGTAGATGGATGCCTCAAAATGGTCTTGACCTAAAATAAAGCCTTTTGGGTAAATCCCACAGCTCACCGTAAAGCCCATGTGTCCTCACATTTCTATACCCTCTACAACAGCTTTCAAACTCTTTTCTTACTACAAACTACAGTAAGAAATATATTAATATTTTATGTTGTGATGTGCATGCATGCTTAGTCGCTCAGTTGTATCTGACTCTTTGAAAGCCCCTGGACTGTAGCCCGCCGGGCTACCCCTCTGTCCATGGGATTTCCCAGGCAAAAATACTGGAGTGGGTTGCCATGCCCTTCTCTAGGAAGAAAGATCCTCCCTGGATCTTCCTGACCCAGGGACTGGACTCGAGTCTCCCATATCTACTGTACTGGCAGGTGGATTCTTTACCACTGAGCCACCTGGGAAGCCCTATGTTGTGACACACAGACATAATATCAAGAGAAAAATACTATCCTTACTAAGTGTAACATGTTGTTGCTGTCGTTTTTTAACAATTGGTCATGACACAAACACTGAAAAACACTGTTGTCTATCCTCACATTGTCAGGTACTCTCTGTCTTAATTCTTACATTAACTCCATGAGTGGGGCAGAGCTTGTATCCCCATGTGGCAGGTGACCTGGCTACATGTGTCAGTGACAGAGCTGGTGCTCCACATCCAGCCCTCCCTGCACTCCCAACCCTGGGGCCTTGGAGCTGGAACCAGCTCTCAGGGCCCTCCCTGAGGATGGGAGTTGCAGGCTTGGCAACCCAGAGGAGCCACATCCACTCATCCCACTGGCCCCTCCCGTTACTCACTGTCTGTGCAGGAGACTCCGGCTGAGAAGCGCCCAGCGCCGTGGGAGCAGTGCACTGGCCCATGCCTTTGACACTGCTGCAGGGCCAGCTCTGTGCCTGAGCAACGCACCCCGCTCATGACCACTTCTCTGGCTCCCGGCGTCCCCTGCCAGTACCAGGTGTCCTAAGGAAACAGCCAGCATCCCCTAGTCAGGGCTGAGACATGCTCTTAGAGTCACCTGACTCCCACTAGAGGCTTGAACCCCGGCCAACCACCCTCACCCAGCTGTGCCCAGCCTCGGCCTGAAAATCTTTAGTGATAACACTTTGGACCCCTCTGGTATTAGACATGCCTTCCATGTATGAGGGCAAAATCCACTGCTGTGGCTTCCACCACTAGCCTTGTTCCCATCACTCTCCCGGACTGCAGCCCTCAGCTGTTTGAAGACGATGGTTTGGGCTCTTCCTGTCCACTCAGGCCTGTCCCATTTCCCCAGCTGTTCTTCATATAACCCTAGATGGCTGGTTGTACTCAGGATTGAGCCCAGTTCTCCAGGGTGAAGGGTGCCTAGTACTGCCAGGCAGGCCACTACGGGTGAAGCTGAAACAGTTTCTCCATAGCAGCCTTGCCCCATGCCTCTTGATTTCATTTCCTTGATATCTTTTGAATCTATCCACCTGCCTCCCCCAGGACTGCCACTAGCCCCATCCAAGCCAGCAGCATTCTCAGCTGGGCATCTGCAACAGTGTGCTCCTCTGTATTCACAGTAATCCCCACCCCAATAGTCTGCCAAATAGCAAGGAAGAAATCTTTAAAAAAAATCTGCCTTGCAGGCTTTGAATGGTCTTGCTCCTGCCTCCTCCTCCACCCTCGCACTTCACACCGATCTATCACTCTAGAAGCTGCACTCCACCCCTGATTTCCTCAATCAAGTCAAGTGTCCTCTGGCCACAAGGTCTTCACAAGGGCTCTTTACTCCTCCCCCACCTCATCTGGCTCACGTCTGCTCATCTCTCCTGCAGATAGAGTTGTATGCCCGTTGTGTGAACATTTTAGGAAAATCCACCTCCCTCACGTGACTGTGTGGCGACGGACTGCTCCATGAGGCAGGAACTGTGACTTGTTCACCACAGGATCGCCAGCACTCAGCATTCATTGGTGCATAGTTCTACTCATAACTAATTGTTGAATGAATGAATGAAGGGTCAGCAGCTTTAGCATGGCAGAGACCTACCTTGATGGCATGGCTGGCAAAGCCCAGGCCAAGCTGTCGACAGGCCACCATGGCTTCAGTGAGGCCCCAATGGTCGCTGCACACGGCCCCCCAGCGCTGGACGCCGTTCACCTCCACCTGCACCTCCACCACCCCCTCCTCGGGGCTGCGCCCACCGGCCAAGCGCACCTGCAATGGTCAGGGGTGTGTGAGGAGCAGGGCCACTTTAGGAGGGGGAGAACATGGGCTGCTGGCTGGGAGACCTGTCCAGGCTAGCTCACCACGCAGCCCTGGACATGACACTCCCCTTCTCTGGGTTGCTCTCCTCTGTAAAGTGAGCACATTTTATTGGATAGTCCCTAAAGTCCCTGCCCACTTGAGAAAGTTGACTCAGAGTGCCTGCGCCCAGGCCTTGCCTTCCATCTACCTGAAATCCTGCCATTGATGATGACTCGCCAATTGCCAAGTGCTTTCATATCTATCGTCACATTCACAGTGACCCTCCAGGACAGCTGACCCCATTTTACAGAAGAGAACCAAGGTCAGAGACAAGAGAGACTTGCCCGCAATTCACGTTAGCATGACGCTTGAACTCTGACCACTCCCTGGTGCTGACACCATGCGGCCCTCTGCCCTTGGGCCGCTTCTCTCTCAACTTCATGGGGGACCTGAGGGAGTGGGGCGGGCGAGCCCATCTGACTGAAAAGTCAGTCTCCTTGAGACTCTGCCATCTCTGAAGGCCAGGGCCTGGCCCTGAGGGAAAGCAGGCCAGGCCAGGGGAGACTCACAGAGGAAAGGGCGGTCCAGGCTGACTGCAGGCAGGCTCTGAGGCCCAGAGCTCTAGCCGCCTCTCACAAACCCTCCCCACTGGCTGCATGCAGTGTCTGGGGCTATCTCAGGGCTGCCCAGCCCCGAGCTCACCTGGTCCTGGAAGCCCATGTTAGGAATGTTGCATCTCACGGCAGCATCGTTGTCATGTTGGCAACCATTCTGGGACCCTTCCAGGGAAGGGCAATCGCTGAGGGTCCGCTCGTATCCCCTGCAGCGGACTTCACTCAGGTGGATGGGCCCCAGCGCTACAGCGGGGAGCGGGGAGAAAGGCCGTGTGAGGCTCCATCTTGGCAGCCTCACCCCTATGGCAGCTGCCCTGGGCCCCAGCACCCTGGGACCACCAGGGCATAGATCAGTGGCACACCCAGGCTCTCCTACCCCACCCCAGGCCTCCTCACTCACCCTGGCCCAGCCGGGCCCCAAAGAGGGCCTCCCGAGCAGAGCCGAAGCCAAGCTGGCGGCACACGACGCTGGCAGAGATGAGGTTCCATCCATGGTCACAGACGGTGCCCCACTGGCGGTTCATGAGCACCTCCACCCGGCCCTCACCCACCTGGGCCCCCGAGCGGAGGCGCACCTTCATCTCCTGCTGGGAGAACACCTGGCTTCAGGGAGGGTGAGGAGGACGCAGGCATAGGGGCTGTGCCCCTTCAATTCAGGCAGAGCCAAGTACCGGAGTTCTAGTCTCATCTCTGACTCCTGCAGCTATTGCCTTGAATAAATTGTTTTCCTCAACCCTCTCCCCCCTTTTCAGTAACAAAGAACCACCACAATAATAATAGTAATAACAAATTCATGAATTGTTATGCAATAACAGTAACAATAAACGTAATAATAAATTCCAGCCCCAACAAAACAGCCTCAGGACTTGGGGTCCCTGGGCTCCACAACCTGCCACCTGATCACCAGGCGAGTTCCCTCCTCTCACCCAGCCTCACTGCTGCTTTGTCCTTCGGGGCTGACCCTAGAGCAACGCTTCCCCAGCAGATCTGCGAAATGATTTTAGAGACCTGCGGGGACGTGGTGTTAATGTAACACACAGTGGAGAGGCCATTTCCGTTAATTCTCTCCCATCCCTCCCTACACCATGAGGAGACCCTCTCACGTGGAGCCGTCGGCCTGAACGCCTCCCCAGCACTTGCTCTTTGCTTTTTACAACGAGGGCCAGGCTCGGGCTCAATACCTTCGGCCCTCGATGGGACGCAGCTACAGTGTAATTACAGTTTTCACAGTTACCTTCTATTCCTGGCCAGTGAGGTCAGCTTTCCATTTACAGTAGGGTTATAAATGGGCCCTTTTAAATAAATCCCAAAGTTCAACCATTCTGGGACTTGCTCTCCTCCTGGTCTGAACCAATGTCCCCTTGATGGGGGGTTCGCCCCCTTCTTCCCCTGACTCTCCTGGAGAGTCACCTCCCACCAGTCAGTCCCTCCCCAAGAAGCAGGGTCCTGGGAGTGGGGCCTGGGCCTCCAGGCCTGTGGGCTAGGGCCCTGGGGACCCACCTCTGCCCTGGACTCCTTGCGCCCAGGCTTCGCCTTCAGAGGACGGAAGCGGGGCCCTGCCATACAGCTGACCACAGCATGCATGCCACCCGGGCAGGCCGGCCGCAGCTTGCCCTGGGCTGGCGCCACCTGCACCTGGCAGTTGGCCATGTGGGGCTCTGTGCCCAGGCAGTTGACACGGTGGATCCAGAAGGAATTCTTCTTCGTTAGGCTCTTTAGTCTGGAAGACAAGGGAGACTGAGGGTGGAGAAGGGGTGCTCAGAACTCTGGGAGGCAAGGCATTCGGGAGGGGAGAGGGGCCTGGAGAAGGGGAAGGGGGAGGAAGGAGGCCCTTCATGCCACCTCATTTGCATCTTCCCGTGAGGGCACTACTCCTTACCTAGAGTTGGGGTCCTTCATCTTTGAATCCCAGACTTTCCTGGAGGGAACGAAATAGGTGGGGAGTGGAATAGGTGCAGAAGGCCCAGCCCTGTCACCCTGGCTCCTCAGAGCTGTGCTTGAATTTGCACTAGACTTCACAGTTGGTGCACTTGTTCACAAATCATTTCAATGCTGAGCTTTGCCACAGTCTGAGAGGATGGCTGCTCCACAGATAAAGACGATCTCCACTTCACAGCGAGGGAAAATAGGGCCCAGCAAGGTCCCTTGACTAAACCCAAAGTGGGTTCCCCTCTGCACTGGGCTGCCCAGGGCAGGCAGCTCCAAGCTCGTCCTTTTCCGTTTATTTGAAGGGCAGCCTTTAGGGAGCAACCCCATGAGAAGGGGCCCAGGCAAAAGTCCTCTGGGGAACAGGTGGAAGTTGAGGGCCTTTCTGCTGGGGACTGCCCACCCAGAGACACTGAGGCTATAATCAGGGTTGCCTTCCTCATGGGTGGTAGGCAAGTCAGCCAGGCCCAGATGTGCAATTACTGGGCAGCAGGGAGTCAGGGACCCAGACCCCAGTCATGTTCAAGGACAGAGCCACATGGCTGGTCTTGGAAACTAGGGTCAGCTAAGTCAGAGACACAGAGTAGAACAACTGATTGGGGATGGGTAAGGGTAGATGACTCACGTCCTGTGGGAGATTTATCCCCTGATGAGAAACATACGAAGCGCTCACTGATCAGAACGGGTAGAACCCTGACTGGTAATCATTTACAGGCTGATGCAATCTTGTGATAGTTCTGTCACATTTCTGACAGAATATTTTTATGTCTCCTCTCCCAAATGCCTCCCCACCCCACGCCTGGCTTACATACAACTCAATCAGAACCTGGCTTAGATCCAAGTCGAGGAAATTTGCTGGGTCAGGGTTCAGAGAATTCCCTGTGGATTGGATGACTGAGGCCCGGATGCCCTACCAAGGCCCTGAAGCCTATTATCAACAAAGCTTAGACTGGAACCCACACCATCTGTCCTTGTGGGAAGCACTGTATCTTTACTACTCAGGTCTAATTTTCTAATCAGGAACACAGTTTTACATTTATTTACATTTCATTTTGGGAGTATTCTGTGCTACAGTCAATTCTTTCTATCTGATTGGCAAGTACAATGTTTATTTTCTGACTGTTTCTAGGGATTTCCCAGGGTCTAAAAATTCATCTTCATTCTTAATTATTTGAGAGATCCATAACCCCAGAAATCCAGGGACATTCCTTGGCCGGGTCTCTTTCCCTCCCAATCCCAACACCCACCGAATGTCCTCTTATAGACACCACTCCTGCCAGTCTCACTGCAGTCTGCAATGTCTCAAGCATATGCACACAGACACAAACACACACATGCATACATGCATGTGCACACACACTCAGCCACTGCCCCACACCCCCGCCTCCTGCATAGCCCTCCTGCCTGTAGTGGTGTCTTCCTACCTGTAGTAGTGGCTGTCGACAGGTGCCTCGCTGGGGAAGCCCAGCATCCCGCACACCACCCTGCTGTTGTTCCTGGTCCAGCCCTGGTCACACACCTGCCGCCAGTGGCCCTCGTACTTCACCTCCACGGCCCCCTCAGTCACCGGGCTCTGCCGTTTGGCGCTGGCGAGGATGGGCTTGAGCCGCACCTCCTCCAGCCGCCGGTCCTGCAGGATATGTGGTCTCCGTGGGTCCCAGGAGTCCTGCCCTTGCTGAGCCCACTGCAGGTCTTCACATGGGAAAGCTGGGGCTCGGAGCACTTAGAGATCACGCCCCCCAGCACCCTCATTGGATGGGCTGGAAACGGAGGCTCAGAGATGGGGAGGCAGGGGTCAAGGGCACACAGTGAGTATGAGACAGAAGCCCAGTTTGTTTAGGGTCCTTTCCTGAACCCTAGAGAGGACCAAGCAGATCCACACCGTCCTGGGCTCAGGACGGGAGCCCTTGGAGTTTGGGAGGCTTCTGTGCAGCACAGGGGGACCTTCTTCATGGAACCCTGGGGAGGGCGGAGGATGGACACCGACTGACTGCTTGAGACCACAGCAGGATCCTTTGGCCCTTGAGCCCCCCGCCCTAGTCCTGAAGGACTTGGACCAGTGTGGGGCCGCTTGCCATGGCCACCCCAGTCAGTGGGCCTGGGCCAGCTGTCCTCGGGCTGAGTCTGCCCGGCAGCAGAGGGTAAGAGTCAGAGACCTGCCCTGCCTGCCCCTGTTGTTTGGCTTGGGCTGTTTTTAGCTCCGGTTTGTTTGTGCCCGGAAGACACAGCAATTGTGGCTGGGCCTTGTGGGTGAGGCAACCCCCTACCCTCTCATGGGGAGCAGCTTCAGCGATTCCCGGCAGGCCCAGCCTCGAGTCCCTGCCCACCCGCTTCAGGCTGGGGCCCTGTCCGTGCACCTGCTCCAAGCCACAAGCAGGTGTCGGGGCCCCAGGGACACTTCCCAGACTGCTCTCTGCTCCCTTTCCTCTCCCTCCTCCTCCAGGCTCATCACTTGGAGGACCTCCATTTCCTGACCACCCCCTCAGCTCAGGCAAGGGCTTGAACAGCCTCCTCACCTGGGGCCCGAGGGCATTGGAGACCCTCTCAGAAATGTAGCCACGCTGGCGCTGGGGGTGGCATACCACCCCGACGTCCTCTGAGTGAGTGCAGTCACTGACACCCCAGCCGTTAGACCCGCACTGGTCCAGGGAGCTCTCTGTGCCCACACAGTGCACATTGTCCAGCCAGATGGGTCCTGTGGGGGGAGGATGAGTGATGCTTGGGGACAGGCACAGAAAGATAAGTCATGGGCTCTGCCTCCGGATAGGACCCCACTTTCCTCTTCCAAAATCTGAGTGGGAAATGGGGGTGTGAGAGAGGAGTTGGTTCTCCTGGGAACTTGGTTTACAACCCTGCCTACTGCCTCCTCTCAGAATCAGATCCCAATGAATCTGCTTTTGGAAAATGCCAGGTAATTCCAGCAATTAGGTCTATCTGTTCCCTCATTCATCCATCTAGTCATTCACTCATCAGCATTTGCTGAGTGCCTACTGTGTGTGATGGGCTTCCTTGGTGCTCAGCAGTAAAGAATCTGCTTGTAATGCAGGAGATGTGGGTTTCAAACCTGGGTCGGGAAGATCCCCTGGAGGAGGGCATGGCAACCCACTTCAGTATTCTTACCTGGAGAATGCCCATGGATAGAGGAGCCTGGAGGGCTACAGTCCATAGGGTCACAAAAAGTTGGACATGACTGAAATGACTGCACACATTTTATCATGAGTCTACCACATGGTAAGTGCTCAATAAACATGACTGAAATGAATGCATGCACAGATGCATTGTAGGTGATTGCTATGTTCAAAGAATTTAGAGTTGAGGGTAGTGATGGTGGCAGTGGTGATGGCCTCATTGCAGATGAGAATGCATGGGTAGGACAGGTCATTTGAGCTGGGTATTAAAGGATGAGTGGGGGTCTCATCTGTTCTGTTGGAGTCTCAGGGAGCCCACCTCCGAGAGAAGCCCATTGCCATCCCCCATCATTCTGCAGGGCAGCACCAGTTACTCACCCTCCCCTGAGCCATACTTGGCGCTATGGGCCCAGGTCAAGGCACCCTCAAAGCCTAGCTGGCGGCAGGCCACAGTGGCCTCCTGAAGCGCGAAGTCGTCATCACACACGGTGCCCCACTGACCCTGGTGCAGTACCTCCAGGCGGCCCTCCTCCGGCTTGCTGCTGGGGCCCACCAGCCGTAGCTTCATGGTGCCCAGGGACTGTGGCCTGCTGGGAGGGGCCTGGCCCAGCAGCAAGAGCAATGGGAGCAGGGGGAGGGTGGCTGGTAGGAACCACATTATGGTGACTTCAAGGGCAGCTGGGGTCAAGGCACCTGGGGAACAAGTAAACATGACAATGATCACCACCTCTGACCTCAGGCCTCTTCTGCTGGCAGAGACAAAGGACAGCCTGGACCTTTGCAAATGTGTGTGTGTGTGTGTGTTGGGGTGTTGGGTGGGGTGTGTGTGTGGTGCCACAGATTGAGTCTGGGCTCTGAGATTAGTTCATCTTGCTCAAACCCAGCATTCCTCGGCCATAAGTTTAGCTTTCCTGAATCTCAGTCTCCTCATCTGTAAGGTGAGGATAGTAATCTTTGCCTCCCAGTGTTGCTGTGAGTGTTGAATAAAACACTGATAAAGTGCTTATCCTGAGCCTACCACATGGTAAATGCTCAATAAAGAACTGTTTTTGATGTAGTCTCCTATGGAGGAAGGGGCTTCCCAGATGGCACTAGTGATAAAGCATCTGCTTACCAGTGCAGGAGATGTAAGAGATGTGGGTTCAGTCCCAGGGTTGGGACAATCCCCTGGAGAAAGGAATGGCTACCCACTCCAGTATTCTTGCCTGGAGAATCCCATGGACAGAGGAGCCTGGCAGGCTTCAGTCCATGGGGCCACAAAGATTTGGACACAACTGAGCGACTGAGCATGTGTATGTAGAAAGGGGGGTCCCTAAGGGCTAGACTGTTCAAGCTGGAGGAGGTACACGATATTTGGTTCAACCTCCTGACTCCAGAAATAAGGAATTAGGACCTAGAGAGTTTAAGAGACTTGCCCAAACCACAAGCAAGCTCCACCTCTAGGAGCTGCATGATTTGTACATTGAGTCAACAAAGGTTTTTGGAATATTTGCTTCAGGCCAATGATCGGGCCAGGTGCTGGGACAAAGAAGTAAACATGTCAAACACTACTCTCTGCCCTCATGAAGCTCAGAGATGAGGAGTCAGGGAAGGCTTTCAGAGAAGGGACATTTAAACAGGGCCTTGCCAGATGAATAGGAGTTCTCCTCAATGGGAAAGGGGAAACAATAGGGAAGAAAGAGGGAAAGAGGAGTTTGTGCAAGAGTAGGGAGTGCCCTTTCTTAATCCTGTACTGCAGTATCAGCGACTTGGAGGGGACCAAGGTGGAGGAACAGGCTGGGGCCAGAAGATCAAGGGCTGTGTGCACCATGTGGAGCTTCTGCCCTTCATCCAGTAGGAAGTAAGGGGTCATGGGAGTATTCGAGGCAGTGACCAGACATGGGAGAGGGCCCCCATGTCCAGGAGGCTATCGTCAGATGTTCTTTGGGTCCCCACAGGGGACGAGTTGGGGGCTGGTCCTCCCCCCGCTCATATGTTAGCAGCCGTGGTCCTGGCAGCAAGGTTGGGAGGAGCACAGAGAACAGCCATGCCCAGTTGCAGCTGTCAGACTGTCTGCAGCCACAGGTGTTGAAGCTCCTGCACGGCCAGCTCTACTGCTGATGGGCAGCCAAGGCCGGCCCACAGGAGCGGATGGACAAAGTTTGGGTCCTTGGCTACTTCTTTAGTGCTTGAGTCTTAAAGGGGCTCTTTCTGGGGAGAGTCCCCCTTCTTCCATGGCCACTGCTCTTCTCGGGGCGGGGGGGATTCCATAGCTAGGAATTCTCAGTAGGGAGGGTCTTAAGGGGCCTTCTGCCCCTTCCTTCCCCACAAGCTAGTTTCTGGCTGAGAATCAGTCCTTATTCCTTCCTGCACCCAGCCCCATCTCCCTTCGCCACCAAGCCTCCTGCTTTGACCGGCCCAGGGTTGGGGGCAGTAGGCACCTAGAAGTGCACAAATGAGCTCAAGAATGAAGCTCCATGGGAACGGGGACTTTGTGCTGCACCCCCAGGGCCCAGAATAGTGCCAGGTATGTAGCTGGCACCCTGTAAGTATCTGCAGGTTCAAGGATGTGAGGTGGCACAGCACAGTGCTTAGGCAGGCAGACTGGGGGTGAGGAGCCTGTGTCCACATCCCACCTCCACCGGCTGGTTTCTGGGTGTTCTTGGGCAAATTATTTAGTTTTTCAATGTCACAACTTCCCCCCTCTGTAAAATGGGGATAGGATTCTTGTGAAGATCAAATGCATGAAAACATTTTAACCCTTAGAAGAGCAACTCTCAATGGTTAGTTAGCTATTATTAACAGCAACTGAAACAGCTATACTATAGAACCGTTGCCTAGGTTGGTCCTAGCCCCTCCCTGGACAAAGAAGGACTGGAGAGGGTGGCCCCAACTCAACTGCGAGTACCCAGTACCAATCCCCTTCTTTTCCATACTTCTTCCGACACAGACTTAAGCACCGTTTTCTTCACTCAGGAGCCGGTGGGGGTCCCCATTGGCTGTCACCACATGCAGAGTGTTCTCCGCTGCCGGGGATGCCCCACTCCCTCTTCCGTGAACCCCTAAGGAGGAGGTGGCCAGCTAGGGACTAAGCCAAACCAAAATCACCATGGGAGAATTGGGTTCCGGGCCCTCCAGCTGTTCAGTCCCAGAGGTCACACTGGGTCTGGCCTAAGAGATGACCCTGCTCCCCAACAGCAGGAGTCAGGATGCTCCTCATTCTGCCACCAAATTATGTGACACTAATCAGAGGCTTTCTTCTCTCTGAGATACAGGTGCAGCTCCTCTAAAATGACAGGGGGCCACTGGACATGCTGTGATGGGCCATGGGTGGGCTAGGCAGGACTGTTATGTGACTGACATCCCTAGAGAACTATGGAGGCCGCATGAAAGGCTGTGGGCAGCCCTGGGCCAACAGGCTCCCTACCCTCCAAGGAACCTCTGTGGGGCCAGGGGTGGGCCTCTGCTGAAGGACCCCGGGTGTTAAGAGCAGCTCCCTTCCATGAAAGCCCCCCAGGAGGTGGATGGGCAGTAGCAGGAACCAAGTCAAAAAAGGGAGAGTCTAGCCTTCCTGCCCACTGCAGTTGCCTGTGCAGCTTTTGCTCACATCACATTTGTCTACTCAGCTTCCCCAAAATACATCCTCCGTTTTCCAGTCTCCAGGCCTTTGCTCTCATTGTTCCTTCTCCTTGGAGTACCCTTTCCCTCTAGCTCAGAATGTTAAATTCCTACACATCTTTCCACACCTGGTTCAAAGGCTAGCCCTCCATTAAGACCCCCCACCCTGCCCAGACCCCGAATCTCCCTAGCACTTGGTGTCTTTGCTTCCTGTCCCCACAACCCAGAGGAGTGTCTCCCCACAGCTGTTCCCCCAGCACTGAGCACAGAGAAGAGGACTAGGCTGAGAAGCCCCTCTAGAGGAGGAAGCAGCCTCCAAAGTGGCAGTGCTTTTCCCAAGCGAAGGAGAGAGAGGGTCAGAAGGAGAAGGAAGGCTGAGAAGGAGAAGAGGTTAATAATAAGTTATCATTATCATTATACATTAAAAAATATTTATTGAACACTTATCTCCACTTGACATGAGAAGATGAGGCCCTGGGAAGCTAAGTTATTTGCCCAGGCAGGATTCAAACCCACGCATCATGGTTCCAGAGCCGGGCTCTCAGAGAAGGATGGACATGGAAGGAGGGGGAAGAAGGAAAGGCGGCAGGGAGATGAATGAAATTCCACCCTGCAGCTGGTTGATTTATGACCCAGCCGTGGTGTGAGGGCACTGGGCTGGTTGCCAGTGCTGAGTGCAACCAAGTGGCAGATCCAGGATCCTGCCAGCTTGAAGGAGACAGGCACCTGAACCAGGTGCTGCCAGGGGCCCCGGCACCTGGCCTGACCCGGCCCTGCTAGGGGGACTGAAAGTGCCCAAGGGTATTGAGGAGAGAGCACTGGGGTGGTATCCTGGTGGGAACCAGCCTGGGGAACCACTAGAAACTTCTTCTCTAGCTCTCTGGGGAGGGGGTGAGGCCCCCCCTCTCAGCCCTGATATCCTCCCTGGGACCACTGTCTGTGGTGGCCTGACACAGTGCAGACAAATGTCCACATGTTCAGGCATAAGGGTTGTGAGGTTGAAGCCCTCTGCCCACCTTTCACCTCTGCCTTCCAATCTCCAATCCCGGGCAAACCCCTGGGCCACCCCAGCACACTCAGTGTTGGTCTGTTTCCTCCCAGAGTCCGGTTCCGCTCTGCCTCTATGTCCCCTAAGTCACAGGAGTGACATCTGAGCCCACCTGCCCCGTCTCCTGCCCCGCCCCCAACCCGGGGAGAGAAGGCCAGAGAAATGGTTGGACTACACGCAGCGTGTCCACAAACAAGACACGCAGGCACCCGAGGCCGCAATGCACCACCCAGGGAGGGCCTTGGGCCAAGATCCCCAACTTGGACACTTCCACTGGCAACAGGTTGGTGAGCGACTAGCGGGCCAGGCTCACTGTCCAGGGGACCCCCATCCCTCCCAATCCCAGCTTTCAGGAACCCTCAGAGACTTGCAGACCCCCCAGAGAGACAGAAGTCAAGCAGACAGACAGGACAGCTAGAGACAGACCTGGCCAGGCACCAGGCAGGGGCTCACCGGCTGGAGCGCGACGTTGCGGGGCTGGGACCGGACTCCGCGGCCAAGCAGCGCTAACCGGCCTCCTGGGCGCCCGGGGGCCCTTTTATCCGGCTGCGGCCCGCGGCGCCCCCACCCCGCCCGCCGAGGAGGAGGCCCGCAGGCCCCGCCCCCGGGCGGACCTGGGCTCGGCGGGAGCCCCGCCCGGCCGGTCGGCCCCTCCGAGGGCTTGGCGAACCCCCACCCCGGACGCGATCCAGGGCGGCCCGCCGCCCACTGGCAGTCCGGTGGCCTGGGAAAAGCCGGGGTCGCGAAAGTTGCGGGGGTCGAGGGGCAGCTGTTTTCCTTGGAGGGAACTGGCGCGCTGCAGCAGGAGAGATTGTGGGAGGATCGGAGTTCCCGGGAAAGGACGGCGGCGCAGTGCCAGCGGGCGACCGAGTCCCGCTGTGGCCTCGTGAGTCCCCTTCGGAGGACTCACAGCTTCCTTCTCTGCAAACCGGGTGGTACACCCAACCCCAGGGCTGACCTGGGAATTACGTTCAGTGGGTCTCGAATGGGACTGTCCCAGGGACCGAGTCCCA